ACCTATACTACAAATGCCCTCAAATAGAACATCATTATGGAGTAACACAAAATATACAAACATATGCTTTGAGGTTCATAAATAGTACAGTTAATATGCAACATGTCTAGGCTATAGTCAAAGTTTAAATGTAATATTAAATATTCATTATAATATAATAAACAAGATGTGTTCTCTCAGTTGAGAGATCAAAACCCTGAAAAAAAAAAAGCCAGAGATGTTGGCTTATTAGTATTATAAAAGTTATTGTCATATCGGTGTCCTCTTATGTCAGGTTCTTATTGAATCAATAAATTCAATCGAATAAAAAGACACGCTGGCTATAAACAATCAAATGAAATCACTATCAACTAAATTCATTGATGCATTGTGCATAAATGTTAAGTTTAAACATAACATTTTAATGTAGAAATATTAAATGATTGCAAAAATGAAATAAGCTCCTTTTTTAAATATGAAACTACAACTGCCAGTAGGAGGCAGCAAGTGACTTAATGAGTGAGGGTCTTAATGAGTCAGTTGAATCAACTGATTCGTTTAAAAAGCTGATTCATTTAACTTTGCAAACGACTGTACTTATAGCCTGATTGAATCATTTGCTGGTCCGTGTAATGCTGAGGAACAAAACACTGTTGTTTGGAGATGCAGCGGTTCTGCTGTTTGTTCTATTTTCTTTCTGACGGAGCAAAACTGAATTTTGTGTCCGAAAGTTACTCTGTAAGTTGTTGTTTATTGTACATTTGCGATTGTGCAGATATTCGAGAAAAAAAAAACAGGACTCTTGTTTGTGTGATAGGCTAAGTCCTATATCATAGGCATAGCTATGTTATAAAAACAGAAACTCATTAAATTGCTATTTTTTATTTAAAATAATTTTGATGACATTTCATCCCCACTATGGGAATGGCAGTAGCTAAGACGAGAGAGAACACTCAAATCTCATCAGATGATCGCATAATTTAGTGGAACATTAATATATAGTAATATAGAATCATCCTCTGTAAAGAAATGAGGAGTGAACATTTGAGAATGTATCATTATCACTTTCTAAATGTGTGCTCTTTGGGGCTAAAGGCTTAATGGAGCTGTTTAAAGTATCCATGTGATAACAAACCAATCGGTGCAGACGCGATTCAATACGTGTGTCCTTCTTCTATTTGAAATAATCATAAATACCAGTTTATGCTGTTTGATTGTGGCCTCGAAGGCTGTAGTTGTAGCCCCGGCTGGCCCGTTTAGATCTTCCGTGCGCAGTGGAAAGAAATGCGGCAAATAATTTCTGAATTCTGACTGGCATATAACGAACAAAACAAACAAACGTAAACGGGCAAAGGCGGGGCCCCCAACAAGGGGCCCATGGGCTGCAGCCCACTCAAGCCCAAGGGTAAGTCCGGCCATGGTTGTGCTGTATGTCTATGATTCGTTAAAAAGATCCAACTAAAAAGAGTCATTTGTTCAGTAATCGGACATAGGTTAATCACCTACACCTGTATATCGCGCTGTAGAGTCACTAGCGGTTGTGCAGTAAATTGTAGTGCAGAAAACACCGTCAGAATATTTGACCGCTCTGAGGAAAGAATGTGAGAGAACTGTTAACGGAAAGTCATTAGGTTCGGTTCTGAATTGATTAAATGAAGGTCTTTGAGGAGGAATTAATAAGTAGACTTTGCCAGGTTAGAGGCTTAAAATAGCTTTGTTTGAGGCATTTAGTGCTACCATAAAACGTGGCAAACATATGTAAACTATGCACAAGCATGCCTAAGTTTCTTTCTCTGAAATTCTATATAGGCCCCCCTAATATTATAATATTCTATTATTTATAATATATAATATTCTATTATTTTGGAAAGACAAAAATTCACATTGTAAGTCTTGTGTTTTGGACTGACACTTTAGTTTTTTGCTATCAACTATTTTAGATTAACCCAAACTAACTGAAAAGTGGTTGACTGTTTACATATCAATCAACAATATGCTGTTTTCTGTAAGAAGCTACAAAGCAAACTAGACTTTATTCTTCAAATATGTGGTTTTGCGAGACTAAATACTCCCTAATAATATCATCATTACTGTATCAAAGAACCCAGTTATTAGCCTCTTAGCAAGGCCATGTTTTTTGAGTCTCTGACAATATGGCTGACCTTGTGGTGCTTGCAGGGCCTCCCAGGACTTGTGGTGAGTCCAGATGTGTTTGGTTATATGAGCGCCCCGCTATATCCCAGCAAGATTTGAAATGGGACCTTTGAAGATTTGATGCAAGAGGAAACGCAAAAGCGTGCCAAGCTTTTGTGCCACATAGGTGCAACAGATCTGCATTACAGGCTGCCAGAAAAATGTGTGTCACTTCTCTGTGAAGAAAGATTCATGTGCAGTCTTTGTGCTTCAGTAGCGGGTTGTCACTTTGGTGTCAAAAGCGAGATTGCAGCCAAAACCTAACTTTGCATTGAAAATTCAGAGCTTTGGGGTTTCTTCTTGCTGAATGTGCAATTCTCATGCTACCGCACCTGCTATGGTCGTCCCCACTCCACCCTAACCTCTCAACAACGCTCAGAATACAGCAATTCATTTACAGCTAGGGCGAAGTTCATCCTCTGAATTAGGTCCTTCAGCCACATCAAACTTGGCATTGCAATAGGGTTTGGGTTTTCTCAGTGAACATGTGCAGGGTCGAGCTGGCAGCAGTTCTCTGTCATTATCGAACTTATGAAATGATGTTGTTCCCTTAGGGACCGCTACGCTGTTTACTGCTAATATGCAGGCGTAGATGAAAACGACTCTAATTTGGTATAATCTCCAAGCTCTAAAACCCAACTCGCAAGATATTTTGACTGAAGTGTTCCTTAATTCCCAAGGATGAAATTGGTTGTGGTTCAATCACAGCTGAGATTTTCCATCCATTCATTTCCCTGAGAAGGGTTTCTCAGTGCTGTATACTTGATTAATCCATAGCAATCCATTTGCACGACAGTTGAACTCCTTCAACCCTTTGGCTTCAGCTTCATTTGAGGAGGAATTTAACACCAGAATGGCAGAAACCGCTCTCTGTTGGTGTCTAAGCATGACAGCTTTTGCTGACATCTTTCTCTCTCATGGCTGAATTTAGCAAATACTGATGATAAAGAGGAAAAGGATGAAGTAAACATTTTCAAAACATGTTTAAATTAAAAAGTCATGACAGTTGACCCAAAAAATACAAATTCTGGCATCATTCACTCACCCTCATTTCGATCTAAACCTCTTTGACTTGTTTTCTACTGGAGAACACAAAAGATGATATTTTGGAGAATATTTCAATTGTTTTTGTCTAAAACCAAGCTGAACCCCACTGACTTTCATTGTATGAACAAAAGAGACATTTTTCTAAATATCTTCTTTTGCGCTTCACATATGAAAGGAACTCATACAGGTTTGGAATGACACGAGAGTGAGCAAATGATAACATGTTCTATAACATTTTTTGGTGAATTATCCCTTTAAAATATTCCTGCACTGGCATGCCACATTTCAAAAGTATTTCAGGTCAAAAATGGTGCTGGATAAATGAAAATGTTCGATAAGTAGTCCAAATGGAGAAATAAAAGTGACCACAGTGAGCAAAGAGCATGCTGTAAAGTCCAGCGGCCCTCACAACTGATTGAAGTGGAGTTGTTGGATGAAGTCCTTTAGTCTAAACCATCATTTTGGCTTGTATTTAACTTTCATCTCTCATGCTCATGCCAGGGGATGACTCCAAATCCCATCTTTAAGATGTACTCGATGATTAGTGATGGCAAAGGCATATGACTTTGAGCATAGTGCACGAGTTATACAGACTACTCTTACGGTGGTTTATTATCGAAAATCCTTGATCCCAATCCTCATAACACTTCCTCATTTATATTCTACAAAATAAAAAAATCAGGGTGAGTAAATGATGCCAGAATCTTCATTTAAAGTGAACTGTCTCTTTAAGAAACTAAAGCTGGTTATTGGAACAGGGTAGCTGGTTTTTGCTAGCCCAAGGTGGTCTACCAGGACAAAACCTGGTCCACCATTTACTAGTCAAGCAAATAAACCATTCAAACCAGCTTGGCCCAACCAGAGACCATGTAAAACCTAGAATTTTCAAGCAGGAAACAACAAAAACCCACAAAAATCTAAGTCAGTTTTTAAAGTCATTGCTCTGATTAGCTCCACAAGAGCAGTAAATTGGCTTGATGACCTGTTTGTTGTTAGTGGTGAACATGAGGGATGCGGGCTGTGGGCTGCATTGGTGGATTGGGTCTGCTTTAATAGAGTGCTAAACAGCATGGTCCCTCTGGCTCGATTTGGGGGCCGTTTATGAGCAGGCTCAAATTTCAGGGCCCCCAATCCACCACACCGCTCAAATAACCCCATTAATCCCCGAAGACAGGAGAGTTCAACAACCATCATTAACATGGCCTGTCTAGACTCCCAAACACTCACACAGAGGCCTTTTGTTTTAGACTGTCGACAATAATATACTAGACATGTCAAAAATGTTGAGTGATAAGTGACGTCTAGAAAGTGTGTGTAATGTAGTCGCATTTAATAGCCAATAATGAGATTTGTAAAAGGTAATAAAATAAATAAGCTAATGTGTAAATAAAGTAATAGCAGGCCACCAAACTGCAAATCAATTGACAAAACTGAGCTTGGCTAATGAGTTTGAAAAGCTCCGTCTGACAAAACTGCTGACAGGTGGAGTAAAGCGCAAATTTTAGGAGCACACTATGAAGTGCCTGATGTATTTTTTTTGGCAGTGCTCTTGTAATCAAATAAAAACCCTTTATGGTTCACGTTTTGTTTATTTGAGCGAATACCTTCTGCACAAATGTACATAAAGCTGTCTCATAAAAGCACAAGAGGTTTCTAAACCGATAAGAGAGGTTTCGCTGCATCCCTGCAGTTCGAAAGACATCATATACAGGTAATTACAGTCGACAGAATTAAATTAGGGCCTCAGGAGTCCAAAGGATGAAAAAAATAAACATCAGGATATTGGACATACATTTTTATTAAACCTTTATTAAACATTTTGAGTATCAAAAAAGCATGGCAAGAAAGAAACACAAAGAATCCCCCACTGGTGCCATTAGAAACTCCTTTTTTCCCCATAGAAAAATGCTGTTCATGGCACCTTAGTAACAATGTACAAAAATCTTTACATATACACACACACACACACACACACACACACACATATACTATATATATATATATAAGACTTCATTTAGTGTGTCTATGTTGCACATTCACCCCATTTCGTTTGGTTGCATACATGACCATTAAACAAGGACGTAATTGGAGACCGAAAAACAAAGTCTGACATTTCCAATCGATACTCAGACCGTTGTGTTTGTCTTTAAACGAGCAGTTGAAGGTCTATTCCCTTTTCTCAAAGCTGATATATATTAGTACTCTATTAAGCAATACAAAGCAATACTTTAACTCTCAAACTGCATTACAGAGTTTTATATGAATTGATCTGGCACTGGTTGAGTAAAACTGTGCAGCTATACTTGTAATAAGGTCTGACTCGATTGGACAGACATGAGGACCTGGTCTCAAGTCTTAAAAGAGACGACAAAGCAACATGGGTAAATAAGTAAAGAAAGACAAAGACAAATAAAAAAAGTACAATCACCAGACATATTCTTGTTTTTAGGGCTTGTATTTGGTCCTTCCACTGCTATAGTGCTGATAAAGTGAGCATTAAAGAAGCTGTTCGTACCGCCAGACACATGCACCAGAAATCACCCTGTTTGAAATGATGGAGAAGCTTTGCTGCCTTTCGAATCTTTCGAGGCAGCTAATAAATCATCTGGCACTTTAAGAAGAGTCACGAACTTTATAAGTTTGTTTTTATGCCCGACAAGCAGCCATTCAAGGCAATAAGTGAGGACAGCAAGTATGGAATAGTTTGATCTGCGGGTCAAAGATCAAAGAAAGACCTTAGTCACCCACATCACTGTCCTGGTCCCCGATGATCCACAAGAAGTGGAAGCTGAGAGCCAGGAGGGCGGTTCCCAACAGGTCGCCCAATGCTGTCAGATACGGGATAGAGAAACTGTCCGGATCCTTCCCGCTTTTCCACATGGAGTGCACCATCCAGTCCGAAATGCAAAGCAACAAGAACACCTGGGATGGAGAGAAAACGCACACAAGAACATTTTCAAGCTGCGCTCTTGCGTAAAACCACGGTCCCTTCTGCTGTACCTTTAGGTGAACTTTCCCACACAATCACACACACACACACACACACACAAACAGGAAGCTCTAAACCAAAAAGCGACAGACGGAGTTATTCTAGAAGCAACACAATGTTTTTGTTTATGGAGCTTCTTTGAAAAGCTTGTCTCGGAAATGAAACAAGATCCCATTCTTTTGAAAAGCGGCGTTCACATTTAAGACAAATATCCGAAACGGCTTCAGATCTAAACATCATAAGGCTTTTCATCTAGCGCAGCTCATTAAACACCAGCAAATTAGCCCCGTGTTTGTCTTCGCTGAGCATCGCAGACTATTAAAATGCTCTTTTGGATCAGTGCGGCCCAGTGGATGCCAGCTTGTTTGCTTAATGGAGATGTAACATTTAAAATCTTCCATCTTGCATTCAACTGGAAGTTAAAAAGATGGACCGCAGCAATTCCTGGAGGCTTTTCGCCAGCCGCCCCCGCGTTTCCATGCATGTGTGAGCGAAGGCTTTTCATTTAAGTGAAATAAAAACGAGGCCTGCCCATTAATCAGACTGACAGGTTGGTGTGAAACTCTATTTGGAGGTCTGACGCTCTGGTTTTCCGGCCGGGCGGCGTTCATTTATATCCGTTATATTAAGGTCAGCGCGAGATGGTTAAAAAGTGATTCGCTCTCTGCTGCAGATTTTAAACTTCAATTTAGGTAGCAGGAAATAAATGGCCGATTTAAAGGCTATTAATTGTGCCTGCCAGGCAAGATGAATTTTGTGACATTATTTCAATAATTAACCTTGCGACCTTTCGCCTCGCTTTTTCTTTCCCTTTCTCTTTTTATTAGGATTCTATTAATTAACGATTAAACTGTTAGGAAGGGAATGCCGGAGGCCCTCCGAGTAGCCAAGGAAAGTGATGGTTTGCTAATGTACACAAGCTGTTGAGGCCTGACAAGATTAGCCTTGTAGTTCCACCCTGCGCAAACACACTTTTCCATCACTCACAAGGACAGAGAAAGCAGTCAGAGATGCTGCATGGCTTTCATGCGTACACTCTCTCTCACACACACACACACGTTTACTTGGCTATCTAAATGAGGAGGTATAACACCCCTGTTGATTTATAGAAAGCTAATTATAATCAGTACAGAAAGAGTACATATAATGAGTAGCTAAACTCTATTCGAGGTTCCCTTAAGGAAGGTTGTGTCAGATTTAGCTAACTCATAAACTCGCTGAAAGCAAAGGTTAGCACCGTGTCCTTTTTAGGTTCACAGTGGCAGCAGAAAAAAGGTTAAAAGTAAACGGAATGTGAACCGATACAATTTAGTTTGCAATATGACATATTACAGCTGTTTCTTGTTTGAAAGTACGTCATTTTGTCATAAAACTAGCAAAAAGTTCAACAAGCGCTTGAAAACAATAACTATTGTTCGAAAGTTTGGGATCGTTTTTTTCTTAAGACGTTTCTTATGCTCATCACGGCTGCATTTATTTGATAAAATACAGTAAAAACAATAATATTCTGAAATATTATTTCAATTTAAAATAATGGTTTTCTAATTCAATATGCTTTAAAATATAATTTATTCTGGGATGTAAAGCGGAATTGTCATCTGCCATTACTCTATTGTGATGGAAAATGGAATTTCCAATGCTGGAAATTGTTGTGCTGTCTAATATTTTTTTTGGAACTTGTGATACTTTTTTCAGGTTTCTTTGATGAATAAAAAATTAAAAAGTATAGCATTTGGAGTCTGTGCTTTTTTTTCTTCTTTCTTTTTTAAAATAAATAATACTTTTATTAAGCAAGGATATGCTCAAATGATAAAAAGTGATAGTAAATACTTTACTACTTTGTCCAAATTTAGTGAAGAGGCAATTCATTGCCTGTCCCTGGAGAGGCATGTGAATATCCAATTTAGACCCCTCTGTACAGCGTCACCAAAAATACTTAACAGCTATGTACTGGGAACTTAATTTAAACCTTAGAATGTCTTCATCTAAAGCAGACTCCGTTTTTTCTGGAATTCTATAGATGCCTTGTATTTGAAGACCCATGAAGGTCAGAGGTCAGGGGGCCACTTTCAGGGCACTAGACATACATTCAACAAGCCAAGCTATAGCTGGCTAATAATGGTGAACTTCTGTTCGAAAGATTTTGTTCTGAGAAGCATAATTTAGCCATATAAGGGTTTTATAAAGTGTTTTTTGCCCATTTTGTGATAAAAACATACGTTATATAATAAAATATTATAAATATTATATAAAAATATATTTTATAATCTCAATGTATTGTTTTATAGCTAATTATTATTAACAATTTAAACTTATATTTTTATAGTTTATTATAAATAGTATCCAAAATGAAAATTTGTGCAGATATACTACAATCAATTTATACAATTGAGAAGTTTTGAGAAACATGAGAAGGAGAGTTTTCTGTACACAAATACTTCAAGATACACAAAATAAATATCTGAGCAGCAGAAAAACCCAATTAATGGGCCCACTCATTTTTCCTGTCTCTCTCTCCTCAAGGATCCAAGCAGTCAAGGATTCTGAAGTCAAGCAGTGCGGCTGCGGATCTCAAAGACGTGTGTGTTTAGGTTAGAGAGGGCGTTTCACGTACAATGTACACATACACACAAACTTCCTAAAAACACCACACATTCCACGCAGTCGCACGCCAGCCGCTGAATGCACTTACTGAGGGTCTCAGCTGGTAATTGATCTTAACTGCGATCCAAACAATTTATGAAAACACCCTTTTGGAATAACCAAACACTCACAGATACATACACACCCACTTACACACACAAACAACACCTGCTCGCTATCGCTAATGCCATCGCTGCTTCATTCAGAGGGGAAATGGGGCGTCTAAAAGCTCTGGGGATTTTCTAAAAGGCTCGTAGGTTTATGATGGAAACAACTGCATGCTGTAACATTGTTACATGTGGGCTGCTGGCGGCACATTCATCGCGATTACACTGAGGATGAAATAGATTCCCCAGACCTGTATCATAAAACGGGTGTCTGGTTTTATGATTATAGCCTGACATTTTAGTCTGCTACAGGAAATAGTGCTTACAGCTGAGCCTCAAATAGGTGTCAGATTTAATAAAAAGATATAGTGATGACAGGTTCTCTAAACAGCATGGAAATAACTGCACCGCACAGCCTGTAAACTTTCATGTGAAGATGTCAGTGCCTTGATGCTCGGTTAGAAGGCCCTATTTTTGTCACGCTCACCTGGAAAAGAGCAGCAGCCAAATACACGACCATGAAGACGGACGTCAGTGAGGTGTGACCCCTTTCCATCAGATCAATGGTGTACAGGAAGATCAAATGACCAGGGATGACCAGTAACAGCAGTACTTGTGCTGACCTGTGATTGGCCCCTGAAAAAGAGAGGAATTTTTTTAAAGCAATATATAAAATCTGATTAACAACAATGGTAATGATATTAAAGGGGTTATGAATTGAGACATCTAATTTGCCTTAATATTTTGACATATAAGAGGTCCAACATTGTACTAGAAAAACGTCCTGCAAGTTTCAAAATGTAAAACTTCCTCAATCTAAAAACAGCTTTCACTGAAATCAAGCTGCCAAAATGGTTTGATTCATATTCATATTTCATCACAGTATGACGTCATACTGCGATGAAAGACTGCCTCTGCAGATCCAACACCTACTTCTACATCATTGCATCTTTAGCCCCCCATAAATAATGTAAATAATATGAAATAAAAGAATATTATAAATTAAATACTATATAAATATATTTCATAATATTCAAATTATGATTATTTTCTCATCTAATTATATATCATTAGAATGAAATATTTTTCATTTTTGTATTATTTATATACTTTTATTGTATTTATTATTTTTTTTATCCATTTATTTTTTCATTTATTTGTATTTTTTATTTTCTCAGTTTTCATTTTAGTTGAGGTTTTATTAATTTTATCTGCTTTTGTCGTTTTTATTAGTTTTTAATATTTATATTTAGTTTTATTTGTTTTTATTTTAGTATTAGTAACTTAGTTTAAACATATAATCGAACATATAATCATTGTAGTTAATAGGGTTCACCGTCTGTTTGATTACATGCAATTTGTAACTATCTGCATGATTTTTACTGTACATTTCTGTCAGTAACCACTAATAACCTACTCCTAAATATAATGTAAAAACTTAACATTTTCTGTAAAGCTGCTTTGCAACGATTTGTATGAGCGGAATATTTTCCACAATGATATCCAAGGTGAAATCGGTCATCTTAAAGCATCCAGCATTAAGACACCTGAAACACCACAGACACAAACAACCCTCCACTTGCGATCTGTGCACGTGTGTAGCTGTTCATATTTGATTTATTCTATATATTCTAAGTGAATATGCATATCTCATTCACAAACACGACACTTCTCACTCCATTACCATCCTGTCAGCCCCTGCAGTATGGCATCCCTGTGCACTCAGAGCCCTTGAAGGAGGAAGATTTATGCCCATCTTTCCAGATGGCACTGCTAAGCTTGCAGTGGGCACCGTGCCCCTCATGTACTCGGGCATCTGGACTCTGTCCCCAGAGTCCTTTTGTTTCTCTAAGAAAGAGCCCTGCATTAAAGCTTCGGCATCAACATGCCATCCGCAGCCTCTGTTGTTTATAGGAAGCGTTCTCTGCTTTTCTCCGAGATGGATCGTTATACACAACCCACCGTTACACACACTCCATTAAAGCTAATGTATACACACTTGCAAGCCCTGGTATGGGATGTTGCTCTAAACACTGGTTACTTGTTCTCGCTCTCTTTAATACAGACTATGAAAACAAAACCTGCCTTCAAAGTGTGTTGAAGTCACTCTCCTTAAATTTGTAGGCCTTAAAGGATGTTATGAGGATTTAAAATTACATGAGCAGTTTGGAGCCCTTTAGCACACATGCTCCACATGTACTGAGCTGTGGTGTTCATGCGGGAGGTGTAGGTTTGAGCCACGTCATGCCTTGGATCCTATTCTTTATTTCTTTATTTTTTGTGAAATGTATCCACTTTGCCAGCCAATAAAATGTCAAAAATGAGAGTGTGAAAATAATTTACATAAAAATGTAAAAAAAAAAAATTCACATTAAAATGATGACAGCCCCACATTTCTGCCAGTTATGGAACAATTTCCACCACAACCAGCATTTTGCCTCTAATAAAATTAGTATAGGAAAAAAAATTGTAGTTGTTTAAATAAATGTACAGATATGCTATAAGTGTGCAGATATGTTATTTACAAAGTGTGCAGTTTACAAGTGTACACATTTTGGATTCTGTGTATAAATATGCCAGTTGTGATGGACGATGTATAATTATGAAAGTTTAATTGTTTAGGCTGAATATAGTCTGCGGGAAAAAAAACTGTTCTTGTGCCTGGCTGTTTAGATTAAATTTAGACCAAGAATTTTGATTTTAATAGTAGATTTTTATTTAATATTTAAAAAAATGTCAAATTATTCAGAAAATGTGACAATATTATTTACATTTGTGTATTTAGGATTCATTAAATGCAGTCATTTTATTAACAAAAAGGTTTTGGATTTCATTTCCACCACAGAATGAATGGAATATTGTTATGTAGTGGAAATTATATTTGCTCATGTGATGTATATTCACTGATGGACATGGCTCATGGACGAATGAAATAAACTAGCATGTGTGCTTAAAGAGTTTAATTTCTAAAAGTGTACAGGGTCAAACGTGGCAATATATTTCAATTTTTTTTTAATCTATTATGCACTAGAATGTGTCTAGGGCACACGTTGGTGTGATTTAAAGCACACTGGGGTAATGGTCGGGGTTACCTGTGCCACAGAAGGTGCGGCAGGGGTAGTAGCAACCCTTGGCCTCGTCAGGAACCTCCCCAGGGGTGCTGTGAAAATGCAGGTAGGTGGATATCCGACTGGACTGGATGGCCACCAGGTTTCCTCCAATACCTATAATATAATAGTACACATATCAGACAAATACTGTATATACTGAGAGTACAAGGACAAAACATGAATTAAAAATGAGGAAAAAAAACTGTTGCCTGTTTCAAACACGTTTGAGACCTAAAGTAAATCTGCGAATAACTGTCATGTCAGTGAAGCTTCTGCAGTGAAATCTATGTATACAGGCTTCATTTTTTTCACTGTCAGACTGGCAGCCATGAGTCACCAGTACTAACTCTGCTTTTGTCCCCCGCCTCTTTATCTCTCTCTTTCTTTCTCTCACACACCAACACGCACAGCCCTTCCCCTCTCTCTCTCTCTTTCTCCCGAGTAAAGTAGAGTGGTGTCCAGAGCCGCAGTAACGATATGTCACGCCCAACAGTTCTGGGGGAAGACAAGCAAGCGAGAGAGAGAGAAAGAGAAAGACAGGAGACAGAGGACAGAACAGAACGGACAACACAGAGACTGACTGAACATACACATTCTCTCCTCTTTTTATACCATCTGGCTTGTCACTCTACTGAACTAAAACATCTGCTTTTGAAATAGAACTAAACAGAATGGAATAAAATAGAATCAAATACAATGGATATTTGTAAACAGAACAAAACAAAACAAATCAAACAGAAGAGAACACACAATACAACTACATAAACTACAATTGCACAGAGCTGAATAGAGTAGAAGAGTAGAAGGACTAAATAGAATGGAACATAATAGAAGATAAAATAGAACAGAACAGCACAAAGAATGAATCTAGATGAATAGAATATAATAAAATAGAAATAAAAAATGATTGAAAAATTTGATTGAAAATAATAAAACAGAAAAGAAAATAACAGAAAAGATAGAAATTTGGAAAGGAAGACACTGTCAAATCCATCAACCAACTGTTGGGGATTTGGGAATTGCTTTAAAAAGCTATTGCCCAACTTGCCACTCCAGGAGAAACAGCCAGAAATGGTTCTTTCAGCTCAAAATGTTTAGTAACTGAGAGTGGACAGTCAAGACGAATGGACATTATTAAAAAAAAAAAAAATACATTCAGCTCACAGCCAAACAGGAATTCGGTAATCTGAATTACAATAACAGCAAATCCATTTCACACATAGAGTAGTGCATTCATGCCCACAATGGCAATAACATTTCCCATCGTTAAAGAGCAGACCTGAGGGAGAACGATTATCTTTTAGCACAGCTCAGGCTTCTGCACAATTAGCCCCAACAAGGCCATGTTTATGTTTAATGCAGAGGTTACCATTACGCCACACTGTGCCACGTCCCTGTGGCAGAGCTGGAGAGACGCCATCTGTATGGAGTGTGTGGGGAAGTGTCTGTGGTTCAGATTAACTGTCCAGGTCTAAAATTTCTTCAATTTCTCACAAACAAGCAACAACATGACATTTTGGATATGGGTTGGGGGCATGAGAAAGGAGTGTATAGGAATTTTTTTACCTTTCCTGGAGCAACCAGGTCCAATTAATCCGATGCTTGTTTTAGCTATGTCTGCCAACAGGAAATGGGAGATGATATGCAACCTCATTTCTGTCCAAGCAGCAGGATTAACATATATGGACGGTGTAATCTGGGTCACAAATCTGATGAGACTTTGGCTGGGTGTGCAGCAGGGGTCTATTATGGGCCCAATTGGTTTTTGGTAAGTACACTGTCTGGGTTGGGATGTGCAAAACTAATTATTTTGAATCCGTTTATAATAAGGTCTGTATAATTATTAGGCTGGATACAGGTTTATTTGACTCCCATTGGACAAGTCCTGAAAGGAATTTTTGTAAAACATTGTTCTGTTCAAAACAGAACTACTTTAAATAAATGGAATGTTTGCAGAGAGACTAACAAGAAAAATAGCATGAGATGCAATGTAATAGCCAAAAAGTTCTGTCTGAATGTATAGATATATGCTGTAGTTTTAATTGGGATGAATTTAAAGATGCTTTTCTGAGAGTTTTATCATATATGTCTTACGGCTAAAGCACAGCACGCTAATTAAAGCAGTGCTACTAAAAACCTTAGTACTAAAAAAAGATGTACAAAAAAATCTAGATAAACCACACTAATTGGTTTGTTGGGCAACCATTCGACCACTGTGACCCATCCTCGTACTGGGAGCGATAAGAGAGGTCTGACTTTGCTCTATTTATGCATAACGGAAACTATTTTCCTCTACCAAAGTGGCACATGAGCATGTGTATGTTGCAATCATTTAAATTACCTTCTCTGACACGCTTCCTGTTTGGCCAGATAAACCACAGAAGCCTCTGTTACTCATCCTATCTCACTCTTTCCTCCAGTAATTCCTTCTCTACTCAGTTCTACGTCTCTCTTAGAACTGAGAATAAAACCTTTGATTTTGAGATATTCTGATATAAATTTCTGTCTTCTTTCACACACACACACACACACACGCACGCAGAGATTCAAACAGCTGTTTGGTGGTCTGGGCGGGAGAACATAGACAGGCTGCAGACAGCGTAAATGTCTCTCATTAGTGTGCTTTAATTAAAAATCGTATGGCTCTTTGTGGAGGTGCCATGGTTCTGGCTTCCTCTCCTGTTACCACGCGGAGCTCAACTACTGCAATTAATGAATTCACCCTACAGCTCAATCTCATCCAACTCTATTTCAGCTATATTTCATCCTTTGGCTTTTTCTCAATATGGAAATGCTCATTAAGATCACAAAAGTGGCTATATCTGCCGCAAGGATTCTTGTGTGACTTTAAAAGAGGGCGGTTATTGCAGAGATGTTTCTTTGAGGTAATAACAGTCTGAAAGGGGACTGAAATATCAGCTGAGAGCAACAATGTGTGCCATGGACATGGGGGCGTTAGGAATAAAGGTCTACAAATGAAGGTTTTAAAAGCTTAAACCTTTCAAAAGACAAATAAGACACAAGACAGACAGGTAAAAATGGCGATATTGATGTAGTTTGGCCTATTATGCAGAGTATTGACCAAAACGTCAATAATTATTCTCCAGTGTTGAACTATTTGCAGATTTCAAAGCTCTATAGAATATTTTTGTATAGAATAACAAATCTCACCATTGATAACAGGCGTGTAAACCACAATCCCAGCCAGGTTGGGATCAGACACAGTTTTGTCCAGGATGAGTCCTCCAATACTGAAATAGGGACATTGCATTAGAGGGGCAAATGAAGATCCACATGCTTTTTCAATATGTGTTGCGAATCTGTGTCCAGGTGTTTGAGGTGTGTGTATGTGTGTATCACACCTGCTGATGAACATGGCAGTGATAACGGGCTCCCAGCCTGAGTAGAGCAGCTGACGGCTGGCCGGGTGTTTGGAAGAGATGACCATCCACAGCGGAGTCAGACACATGAAGAAGGCACACACCAGAGACGACACATATGGGTGAGAGTCTGATCAATCAGACAGAGAGAAACACCTCAGTGAATACTTTATGGTAAAATACAGAAACATTTTACATTTAAATCACTTTTTATAATTTAATAATTATTCTAAATTGGCATTTTGGGACACTCCCGCTGCTTTCATGCTCTCAGTTATGTGGCCAAAATGTTATACAATATACACTAAAATATTCTTCTTTTTGAAATAAATTAATACTTTTTTTCAGTGAGGATGCATTAAATTGATCAAAAGTGACCGTAAAGTCATTTATTACGTAACAAAATATTAATATTTCAAATAAATGCTGTTATTTTGAACTTTCTATTCAAAGAATCCTGGGGAAAAAAATCCAATTATGGTTACACAAAAATACGAAGCAGAAACTCTTTTAACACTGATAATAAGAAATGTTGCTTGAGCACAAATCAGCATATTAAAATGATTTCTGAAGGATCATGTGACACTGAAGACTGGAGTAATGGCTGCTGAAAATTCAGTTTTGCCATTACAGGAATAAATTACATTTAAAAATATAATAAACTAAAAAACACTTATTAACACAATTTTGCTGTTTTATTGTAATTTTCCCATACGAGACAGTAGTGAAAACTCAACAGGAGTGTCATCCTGCACTCTGACCACACTACACACGTGACCACACATGCCATTTTTCAAAAACTGAGATGGATTGACAGCCATAACGGGAGATTGACAGGAAAAAATAACCACAACTGACATCTTGTTGATGACAGAAATCATGTTGTCAGCTGTGCTTCTGTTCAGACAGGACACATAAATTGAACTCACACTTAGAATTTTGTAATGACTTCTATGTGGGGTTTTGGAATATTTTGAAAATGTATTTAAATATATTTACAATGATTTTGCTGGCAATACAAAACTAAGTAATATTGTGGATATCACAATAAATTTAATACGTTTGTATTTGCTTTCCTAATATAAGTTTCCTAAAGATTATGGCATTACATTCATGATTCTTTTTGTCTCGTGAGCAACTCAAAACATTTCCGTAGTCTCTTGAGTTTGATTCATTTTCACGTAGAACATTCTTCCTTTTCAAATCGACTCAAAACCTATGATTGATTTGATTCCCAATTTGTTTTGCGGCATTGCTCAAAAACGTTCATGTTAATCTTAATGTGGCGCCCCGATCAGGACGGACAATCATATTCTGCTGCTGTGTACATGCAGCCGTACTGACTGGCTCTAATTGGATTTGAGCAGATTGAGCGAAAAAATTATCTTTTGTATTTGCTTTCCTAATATAAGTTTCCTAAAGATTATGGCATTACATTCATGATTCTTTTTGTCTCGTGAGCAACTCAAAACATTTCCGTAGTCTCTTGAGTTTGATTCATTTTCACGTAGAACATTCTTCCCTTTCAAATCGACTCAAAACCTATGATTGATTTGATTCCCAATTTGTTTTGCGGCATTGCTCAAAAACTTTCATGTTAATCTTAATGTGGCGCCCCGATCAGGACGGACAATCATATTCTGCTGCTGTGTACATGCAGCCGTACTGACTGGCTCTAATTGGATTTGAGCAGATTGAGCGAAAAAATGATCTTAAAAAAAACAAATCAAATCTTTTGATGCAGACAGTGATGCAAAAGAGGTTTCACTTTTTGCTAAATACTCTTCATCACACATTAAACAGCCTAAATCTTTAAATCCCAAACATAGAGGCAACATCTGTGTGACTATATTTAGTGTGAGACGGGCGGTGTGCGCTAATGATGGCAGAAGCCTCTCTTCTCGGCTGGTTGGCATGGCTGTTATGGTTTTGGCGTGGCACGGTGGTGCCATTTGCCTTGCCCTCACCTCACTTCACCTCTCTTAGAAAAGGAAAGACTAAAAACGGAGCACGGCGCTCAGTCTGGACCAGTCTGGGGCTTATCACACTGAGTCATCATGGCCCATTAAACTCAGCATAAACACTCCAGAACACTGCTCAGGATGGCCCACGTGTAACTTTCACACTTTTTAGATATAGTGTTTGTGTGTGAGAGAGATGCTGGCTATTTGGCTATGCTTGTTAGGGCCAAATGTTTGAAAAAGTTGCCACAAACATAAAGAACCATGTTGAAAACCAAATTTAAAGTGATCATTCATATAAAAAAAACTGATAAATTAACTGATCCTTGATCTTTTCAAACTGGTTTTACAGTATGAATAAAAACAAACAAGAAGTGACAATAACGTTAATTTCTAAATGAATTATTTTTTTGTTCTTTTTTAGTTTAAATATAATTTATTAATATTACACTAACATTTAATAATATAAACTATTTAGAAACATTTTATATCCTTAAAATAAACGACTAAATACCAACTATAAATAATTACTTATTACATATTTTAAACAGGAACTGTCAAAACTGGAACATTTAATAATTTAATATTATATAATATTTTCATGATATTAAAATACTCTCTCTCTGCATAGATATATTATAAACATATAAATCATTAAAATGAATAAAATTTAAAACAAAGCATAAATAAATAAAAAAATTAAAGCATATATAATACCTAACAGGAATGAATAAATGGACAAGAATTTTAATTTCTAATTATTCTAATAGTACCATTTAATGATACATTATATTTAAAAATATTTTCATAATCTTAAAATATTAAAAAATGAAAAATTATATAAACACACACACATATATATATAAAAACATACACAAGAAGAGAGAGAGATACATACTGAGCCCTGTGTGTGTGTGTGTATTTCATGAGAATGTGGATCTGCAGACCCAGCGAGGTCATGCACTGTGTCACAACACTCTCATTGTCCTGAGCCAGACTCATTAGCAGCGTGACCCTACCCATAAAACATATCAACCCCACTGCCCCATAAACTGTGACTTACACACCTCACATCTGCTGACACCTGCAATAGAGTGTGAGAGTGTGAAATGCGCTGCTACGTTTAAGATATATTACTGATCACACTTTAATATGACAGATAAAGACTGGAATATGTTCAGTTTTTCCACATAATATTCTTTAGACAGCTTTATGACAGATGCATCTAAACATAATTCACTCAAAGCTAAATCCAAAGCGACGGATTCTTGCGCCCTCTAGTGGTAGAAAACTGAAAGTATCTCTGATCTGCTGGAGAGAAACTGCTACAGATTTATCAAACTCTAACCTACTATCTATTCTGGGCAAGAGAGCCGTCTGAGGGGAATAGACTCAGTGTGTGTTTTTCTTTTTTTCCCCCCCAGCTGCATGAGGGTGAACAGAAGGCCTGTACTTTCGCCCCGCTCCTCTGCACGGTCCACACCGCCAGGGTTTGTTTATTCTTTCACCTCGAGGGGGGACGACAGATTTGCCATGAGAACACTAGACGCTAAACAGCATGAGCTGAAACCCTCTCTGAGCTCTAAAGTCCCGGACTGAGGGGAAAAAAAACACACTAGCTACCAAAAAAAATTAAATCACTCTGTCAGCAGAGAGCTGCCGAGACTCCAGCGCCCAGAGGAAAGGGCAGGAGAGGAGAGTGGGAGAGAATCTGTTACTAAACTAGATTATATAATCTTTGTCTATGCACACATACAAACACACCTGAGACTTTAACTATGGAAAGGTTTAAATGCACAATAGGTTTTTTAAAGACAACAAGAAACAGCATTTGGAACACATTTTTACAAGGGTCAGAAATTAAGGTGCTGATGTTGCTCATGGCAAAAATGCCACAAAGTGACAAAAATGACCCCAAAATTCATGTCGCAGCAAAAATAAATAAATACAATTAAAATGTATAAATGTATACCATTTGCACTTAAATTATATTTCTAAATAATATTTAATACATTTTTACCTTTATTTATTTATTAAATGTGATTATTTAAACACTTGACAAAATGTTCAGTTGCTGTGGTTGATGAGGTAAGGACATTATTGGTTACATCAACAGAAAATACGCAAGTGAGGTGTAAGACGTATTAATATATAGTAAGTAAAAGATTATAAAACAAACGTTTTCTTTAAAATATTGTGCACAATAAGACCAGGCATTAAGACAGTAAAGATTATATGTTGTCTTGAAAACTTACATGTGTTTTTCTTACTCAGACACATGGGGGCTGGAAATACCTATTGAGTCATAACCATAATAACAGGCTTGCTAGATATTCTATCACTGATATATGGTTTTTACTACCAGGCCTAGTCTGGTTATAAGCTGGTGTGTGGTGGGCGTTCTGGCACACTATGGCTGCCGTCACATCATCCAGGTGGATGCTGCACACTGGTGGTGGATGAGGAGATACCCCCTGACAATGTAAAGCGCTTTGAGTGCCTAGAAAAGCGCTATATAAATGTAAATGTAATGAATTAGTCTGTAGAGATGGGCACTAGCATGAATCGTCAGGTCCTGACAGCTGAGAGCACGCCCAAAACAGGCCAAGATCTCATCATGAAGCAACTTAGCATCAGTGGAGCACTTCTTGTGAGAGCTGACAGTCACTTCTAATCAAATCACAGGCACACCTAATGTGAACTAAAGCAAGATCCAATTATGTGAAAACAGCTGTAAGTTAGTTAGGATACTAACCGCCGTGGAAAGCCTGGAAGCGAGGGTCATCTCTAGGTTTCCTTTCAAACCCAAAAGAGCCGGAACCAGGATGAAGATCTCGGTAATGTTTTTAAATGCTTCCCAATGCTGAAAAAAAGAGAATAAAGATTTCTATTAGGTCTATGGAGTGGCTCTCAATCAGGGGACCAGGGCCCACTAGGGGGCCTCAACAAACTTCCAGTGGGGCCCCCCAAAAATAAGACAGCTTATTTAAATTTAGTTATATTACCATATCTTACTTAAAATGCAAAAATTAATTAATTAATAAAAAACAGAAATAATAAAAAATTAACAAATAAAAGTTCAACATTAGTAATGTTTTTAAATGCTTCCCAATGCTGAAAAAAAGAGAATAAAGATTTCTATTAGGTCTATGGAGTGGCTCTCAATCAGGGGACCAGGGCCCACTAGGGGGCCTCAACAAACTTCCAGTGGGGCCCCCCAAAAATAAGACAGCTTATTTAAATTTAGTTATATTACCATATCTTACTTAAAATGCAAAAATTAATTAATTAATAAAAAACAGAAATAATAAAAAAATTAACAAATAAAAGTTCAACATTAAACAGACATTATATCTTTGAGTTTATTCATTTTTATGACAACAGAAGTAACAGAGGTACAGCTTAGATAGGAGGGCCTTCAAATATTATCCTCAAATGTTGTAGTCAGGGCAAAAAGGTTTAGAACCATGTTTGACTGTTTTTTTTTTAACTAGTTTTATTATCTGCCAGGCAAAAATCGTAAGTCGAATTACATCAAAGTTTAATACTTAAAGGGACAGTTCCCCATTTTTGTGAAATACAAAATAAGATATTTTGAAAACTGCTTCAGTGTTCTTTGTTCATAAAATGAAAGTCCAGTGTGATTTTGGGCTCCATTGATTTTCATTACATGGACAAAATCATCTTCAAAATACCTTCTTTTGAATTCCGCAAAAGAAAAACAGGTTTGATAACAACATAAAGGTGAGTAAATGCTCCCTTTAAAGTTTCAAAAACTCACTTGTACTATATCCAGTACAACTCCGGCCGAAACCGTCCCGAACCCAGCTAGAAGGAAGGGCACCAGTATCTGCAATGCCATGGCGAGGGGTGACTCTTTGGGCATATTTCTAGGTGCCTGCTGCTGCCCTTCCTCTTCGCTCTCCTCTTCCTCATCGGCCTCTTCTCCCGAAAGCCTGCCCTCAGGCAGCATGGGCTCCGTCTCCGCATAGTGTCCATCTCCAACATCAGACATGCTGATGGACGTTCGGCTGCTGCGGTCCGAGTGGCGGCGGGGCTCACGGTGGAACCCGTTCTTGAGGGACTCTGGCTTGGGCGTGCCGAGGTCCACCATGGCCAGCCGTTCCTCCTGTAGTGCGGTGTAACCAGCAGGTACCATGGTCTGAAGCAAGGAGGGTATGGGTCTGAAAGAGATGGAGCTCCAGGCTCCTCCAACCTGAGCTGCCAGACTAGGACCAAGGGAGCTGAGCACAGCGCCCCCTATGGTTCGGAGGCTCATATTGCAGACAGGAACTGGTTGGGCTCATGGCCCTCTGGACTTTGAGAAGAGCAGCAGATCAGCAGAAACAGCAGGTGGCATCCATAACAGCTACGAAGAAGCTCTGACAGTATCGCAGTGACCTGATAAAGATAAGCACAGAGGAAACTCATCAACAAAAGTGTCACATTCGAGGTCACACTATCATTATATGCGTTCTTTTAGTCTGTCAGCAGCGGTTATTTGATCTAGATGCTGAACTGGCAGTCATAGTGTTTAGTACACCGTCTAAACTTTATTTACTTAAACATCAATTACTAAGTACTCCATACTTGGAACTAACTTCTGAACCCCTTCAGTATTAATATTTACCAACACGTATGAAAACGTTTATCTGACAACTGCAAATAAATAAATAAATAAATAAATTGCAAAATAAAATTCACAGAACTTATAAAACATAGAAGAAATGAACAAATGCATCATATAATGTGTTCAGAACAACACATTATTATGCCTGTAAGTAACTAATCACATATTTTACTGATATTATTAGAGCTATACCAATATATTATACATCTGATGAGGAGGCAGGGAGAGGACAGGTTGCATTTTAAGTTTTTATGGTTTATGATTACCAAAAAATACTAAATTGCATGTCTAAACCTTTATGTAGATGACTTGTGCATTGGAATCACCCCAAAACATCCTAAATATTCTCCAGCTGCCTGATGGTCAACATTAATAATTAATCATTAAAACTGCGAAGCCTGTCAAAAGGAACGAACGCTTTATTTTACTTAAACAATCTCTCTGAAGAGTAAAAAGATAATAAAGGACTGTATGTACCGTGCTGTTTTAGTTCCGTCGAGACGAGCTTCTGCTTCTTCCCTGATCGCTGGACGACAGCGGCGGTGCGTCATCACTGCCGCGGGAGCGAGCACGCATTTCAAAATAAAAGACTCGTGAGATCACGTTCAAACACATTAAAACTGAAATTAAAACACATCAAAAGCTTTTTCTAATATGCTTAGATTTTTTTGTGGCTATTCTTTAGTGTCTTTAATTTAAAAAAATATTATTTCATCCTTGTCCGACAAGAATGTCGTCAAACAAGCATGACAACCGAAATTTCTGCGAGGTCCGATTTAAAACAGGTAACGTAATGTCAGCTAATTAAACGCTATTTAAGAAAAAATGTTAGCACAATAAAAAAAGAAGAGATTAAAAAAAGACAAGAAGAGATAAGAAAATAATGAAACAAAAAAAGCAGGCTATTTAAAATTTGTATCTTTGAAAATGCAATTTTATTCATTTTATACTATTAAACTTTATTCATTTAATACTATTAGTGACTTGAGGTTCTGGGTTCTACACTAAAATGTTAACGTTATTTTATTTGTATTTTCTTATAGATTCTTGGATTGATGTTGTGCAGCACGTACATCCAAATCTCTAGAGGGCGCCAACAGTGGCTCAACCCTACAACACGGAAGTTATTATGTTGTGTAAAAAAAAAACACATGTGGATACAAGTGAATTTGTACATGTGAGGAACTAACCATGGCTCAAACACAAAACAATATAAAGAAAACCTCTTCTAGAGACTTGTTGACCTGTGGCAACGGAAAAGGTGAGACATTCTGAGTTTAGAGAGAAAATCTCGTCTAAAACAAAAATCTGGGGTTTTCCATGTTGTGTGTGGTGGAAATACCATTTCACTTTAGAAAACTAACTAGAAGTCAATTGACATAAAAATAATGTTTCTAAATTAACATTTGACCAGTTGAGAATAACTACTCTCAAATCATAATGTAGAAATGTAAAAATGAAACTACGTCTCAGATATGCTTTGTTGTTACTTCTTATTTGCACCATAACCAAATATAATTTTGGGAACACTTAATCATACATGAATTGTTAACTTTGATATCTCCAGAAATCCATGAAAAACTTCTGCTGAACTCTAAAAGTGCTTCACTGCAGACAGAAAGGGTCCCCAGAAGTAGTGGTGAGTATGTTCATGTCATCAGTTGGGTTATCTTTAATGCATAATTGCCATAATCGATTAAATAAGAGTGTATTGTTTCTGTGTGCTAGTCTTGGACAGAATGCAAAGTTTCCTTCCACAAATCGCCCAAGCCAATGAGTCTCTAAGACAACAGATGGACGAGGCTCCCGCTGGTTTCTTTAACATTGAGAGTGTGGAGGATGCAGAGAAAATCATTGAGATGGTGCGTCTGCTCTCACCACCAGCTGTAGTTCATCTTAACGCATCTAAATATAACAATATTTCACTTGTTTCATAATAACCAGATGTCTCTGTCTTGCAGGACGTGGCTCTTGTTGAACTGGAGGATTCAGACAGCAGCGAAGAGGATGAGTCGTCGTCATCATCAGAGGAAGACAGCTCAGAGGACGAGGTGCAAACTGTCACTGCAAAGACACTCAAACTTCCAGGTGACAGAAAGAGAAAGGCCAACATCCAGGTGATAGAGAAAGAGTGCGAGTGAGAGAACACATACTGCCAACTGGAACTCTGGGAGAGCGCTGGACTCACGCCAGGCCATTTCTGTGCCTATTAAAGGAATATATAACCCTTCCAAATTTGTTGTTGTTTGGAATGAGCACAGACCAGTGATTTTATTTCCTGGTGAGCTGGCAGACTGACATTTCATGTTCTTTGGAGATATTTTTATCCAGAAGGTGAGTGATTAAAGGAGTAGTTCACCAAAAAATGAAAATTTGCTGAAAATGTACTCATCCTCAAGCCATTCATGATGTAGATGAGTTTGTTTCATCATCGTAACAGATTTAGAGAAATGTAGCAGTACATAACTTGCTCACCAATAAATGCAACGTCTAAATGATGGATTTGTTTCTTACAAACATGCAACTTTTCGCTTCACAAGACATTGATTGATGGACTGGATTTGTGTGGATTATTGTGATGTTTTTATCAGCTGTTTGGACTCTCATTCTGACGGCACCCATTCACTGCACAGGAGCCATTGGTGAGCAAGTCATTTGAAGCTAAATTTCTCCAAATCTTTTCTGATGAAGAAACAAACTCATCTACATCTTGGATGGCCTGAGGGTGAGTACATTTTCAGCAAATTGTTATTTTTGGGGAGACTAAAAGCCACTCTTTTGTGTTATCTCAGTTGAGTATACTTGAAAAATGGATTGTATTCTGGCATTAACTATATTAAAAGGTCAGTGTTTCAATCAAGAAAAACAATTTTTTTTTAAATTTATATTCTTTATTGTAAAAATTGCTTCCCGACGCTCCTTACATTTTGTTTGTAGTTGCTATAAAGTTGAAATACTGTTGTGTGTAATGACTGTTTGGCAATATGACACTTCCAGTGTGACTGACAGTTTATACAGAACCTAAAATACTCATATTAACATCTGCATATGATAACATTTCATCTTATGTCAAATGCATGTCATTGCTTGAAGTGTTCATGCACAACAAAAGCAACATGATTCTTCAGCGAACATTCGGCAACAGATATTTTCAGTCATTTTAACAAGAATGTCTCCGAAGACTTCACATTGTATTGAATTCAAGAGTAAGCTACTATTACATATTTTCCCATCAAGCATGTGCAATATTTTTTAACAAAATAAATAACGTCCTTTCAAAAAGAATAGTGTGTTTATATAATTTCCCTTTCCAATCTTCTGTCTGGAATGCAAAATTAAATATAGAAAATAAGACAAGTTGTCATATCCTCTAATAAAATATATACAGTTATGCTAATAAAAATTAGTGATGTGAAAATGCTATCCATAATAAAAAACCTTGGGATGTACAAATATGGTAATTCAGATTTCATAAAGTGGCAGTGATGCAACATGGCTTTTAAATATAAGACTATAAATGTAAAACTGAAAAACTGTGTGTGTGCAACTGGCTGAATAGCTTAAAAACTGAAATATGCTGAGGCCACAAACACCACCATTTAAAAGTTTGGGGTCAGTATTTATTTATTTTTTTATAGAAATACTACTTTTATGCAAGAATGCATTGAATTGATGAAATGTGACAGTAAAGACATTTCTAATGTTACAAAAGATTCCTATTTTAAAAAATGTTGTTCTTTTGAACAGTTTCCACAAAAATATTAAGCAACACAACAGTTTCCAACAACTGATGATAAGAAATATTTCATGAGCAGCAAATCAGCATATTAGAATGATTTCTGAAGGATCGTGTGACACTGAAGACTAGAGTAATGACGCTGAAAATTCAGCTTTGCATCACAGAAATAAATGACATTTTAATATAAATTGAAATAGATATTTCACAATATTATAATACTGTTTGTACTGTATTTTTGATCAAATAAATGCAGCCTTGGTGAGACTTCTGACCTCAAACTTTTGAACAGTTGTGTAAATGAGCCGTTTTATCCTAACCAGTTGTGATATGATGAGCGACAGGACATTTTGTTGGTTTCTTGGTTTCAGCATCACGGCAAAAGCATCACGCAGCAGTTTCACGTTCAGCGTGGACAGACAAATTACTTGTCTCTGGAAACATGATTAGGAAACGCTCAAGATCATTGTAGTGTTGTGGTTACTTCCTGAAACTGACTCAGTCTGATAATTCACTTTACCTCAGTATGATACCTGTTTACTAGTTAAAAACAATGCTTGATCTGATTTGTGGCTGATTCTGTGTCCTTGGCTCCACTTGGAGGTCTTTTGCCATTTTTTCCATTTTTAAAACATTGTTAGCCAGTGTAGACTGGTAAGTCAGCATTTGTCCCACTCCAAACATTTCCAAAAAAAAGGGCGATAAAAAAAAACGTAGGCACATCAGTGTAGTCATGGCAGGAAATGCTTTTCCTATCAGTGTCCGGCCACTTCAAGTTGCAGTCACGGGCCATGCAGTCTTTTTCATTCAATACTCCACCGTCACAGCTTTAGTCCGCAGGTACTCGTGCAGGGCTTCTTCACCTGTATACGCATGCACATGGTCCTCATGTTCATGAATCTGGTTTTAAAGTGATACAGAGTAATGATGCAGTGTGTTTTGTTCACTCTTACCAAGGTCTTTCCCAAACCCGGACTGTTTGAAGCCTCCAAAGGGAGCCGCCACATCGGTTTTGTTGTAGGTGTTGACGAACACGGTTCCCGCCTCCAGCCTCTCGCTCACGTACATGGCCTTGTTGATGTCACGGGTGAAGACTCCAGAGGCCAGGCCGAACTCTGTGTTATTGGCTCTGCTCAGAACTCCATCTACATCACTGATGAGCATCAAACAATCATATTACATGTTGTTCTAATGAGCTCCTGCCTTGGATTTGGATCATTAAGGTCCAAAAAAGGCAGCTTACCCATCTTTGAATTTGGATACCACCATAACAGGGCCAAAGGATTCCTCTTTGGCGATGAACATGTGGTCCTCTACACCTGTGAAGACTGTGGGCTCCATAAAAAAGCCTGTAAGCATAAATAGGCAGATATTAGAAATGGAATAACTAAATTATTAACTAAAACTACTAAAAATTATTTTTGGCAACTGAAATAAAGTTGAAATAAAACATAATTATTAGATGAAACATTGAAACTTCGAAAACATAAAATTAGAAATGCTGCCTGAAATAAACAAGTTTAAGTACTTAAAAAAACTAAAACTGAAAAATAAAAACGACAAAAGCTCATAAAATGACTAAAACTATTAAAATGAAGACTAAATTAAAGACTATGGGCTCCATACAAAAAATTAAGTTGACCTAATTATTAGTTTAATTAATTATTAGAAATGCTGCCTGAAATAAATACGTTTTAAGTACTTAAAATACTAAAACTGAAAAAAAAGAATAAAAATTGCAAAAGCTCATAAAATGACTAAAACTATTAAAATGAAAAAACTTAAACTAAAAAAAAAAAAGAGAAATGGTGCTTCGGCAGCTAACTGAAAAAAAAGTTACTTAAAATGACTAAAAACTAAAACTATATTATTTAAAAATAAAGCTAAATATAATCAATATACAAATATAAAAAAAAAAACTTATAAATATGACAAAATCACATAATTGACTAAAATGACTAAAACGTAAACTGTAATTAAAATGCAACACTTGAACTTAAATGAAAATGAGAATTGGTGCCTTAAAAGCTGACTGAAATAAATAATTTAAAGTACTTATATTGATAAAACTAAAACTGAAATAAAATTAAGCTAAATATAAAGAACAGAAATATATTAAAAATGAATAAAAATGCCAAAACGCATAACAAAATCAGTACAATTTAAAATCTAAAAATAAAAGCCAATTCAAAATATTAAGAAATACTATTATAGCATATATGATTATACATGACCAAAATGGCCTTATTTACATTCGAAAACATTCACAAAACAAATTGATGTTCACAAACCCTTTTAAATCATGGATGTCTTAGATTGGAGGTCTCACCTTGTCTGTCCACCTGCCTCCCACCATACACAAGCGTTGCCCCCTCCTTCACGCCGAGCTCACAGTACTCCACCAGCTTGTCCAGGTGAGCCTTGTGGTTCTGAGGTCCGTGATCTGTGGAGCGATCCAAAGGATCTCCAATCTTCATCTTCTTGATTTCCTCAACCTGAGCACACAAAAACACACCAGTACGTTATCATCTAGAAGCAGCTCGCAGGCTTCATTATACAATCAATGTTCGAAGGAAACACGTACCACTCTCCTGATGTACTCGTCATGAATGGACTCCTCAACAAACAGCCGGCCTGCAGCGATACAGTTTTCTCCCTTGTTGAAGTACACAGAGCTCATGCCCTGCAACGTACACACAAACACACCGTAAGCTCAAGACGACGATGATCTTGCATCTGTAACTTTTGACACTAGTTGTCTTCTCTCACCATTCTCACTGCTTTGTCCATGTCGCAGTCGCTGAAGATGATGAGGGGAGATTTACCGCCCAGCTCCAGAGAAACCTTCTTCAAGTTACTGACTGCACAACTGCAACATAAACAACAGAAATCATCAGCTGGAGGCTCTTTCAAACCATATGAGCCGTTTGAATGATTCACTGTCATTATACTAGGGTTGAGAAAATTTTCCCACCGGTTAATCAACGTGTGACAACACCGGTATCACCACGGGGGCGGGGGCGTTCCCTCTTTTCCTCGCTTTCCTTAGCTTTTAAATAGCTTGTAAAAGCGGCATGCACATTTTACTTTCACTTTCGAATTAGCGGCAGTTAGGGCAAGTGACGTAACCGGTGTTGCGGCTTAACAACGGTATCACCATCAGCACCATCTATCGCGGCAAGCCTACATTGTACATGACATATTTGAGTAATAGCAACAGAGTAATCAACTATAGTGTTGACTTTAGTTCAATTACATGAATGGGACTCACCTTTTCATGATTTGTTTGCCTATGGGAGTAGAGCCTGTGAAACCCAGCTTACGGATATCAGGGTGATCAGACATCCTCTGCCCGACCAGGCCACCTGAGAGAAAGAGGTGACCGAAATGTCAGTCATCATAGGGAGTAAGAAAGTTAAGGGATAAATAACAACATGATTCTTTAAAACTTCACAGCTTAAATAACACTTTTTTTGTACGGAATAAAAATGTGCTTTAATAAACAGACATGCTGGACATTTCTGCTTTTGTCTCATAGATTTTCATTATAAGTGCATTACTGTCAGTGAGATCTATTTGTTTATACAACTCGAAATATGAGTCAAATCCTGATACCTGATCCTGGTACAATGTTGATGACTCCTTTGGGAATGCCAGCTTT